GGTCATCACCTTTAAAGCCCTTCATGGCACAGGACCAGGTTATCTGAGGAGCTGTCTCGCCACAGTTACTCCAGCCTGCCCCACTCGATCCAACAGAAGGGGCATGTTGCAGACCCCACCGGTCAAGGAATTTCAACTGGTGGAGTCTAGGCAGAGGGCCTTTTCTGCTGTGGTCCCCGCCGTGTGGAACAATCTGCATCCTGAGGTCTGGTGTGCCCCCACTCTCATGGCCTTCAGGAAGGGGGTGAAATCCTGGCTATGCCAGAAGGCCTGGGGGCTGAATGGGGGCTCGCACCAGGGGAGGTGGCTTGTGGGGTGATTGACCTTGCCCCACGTCATCTTGAATTTTTTTAGTATTTATATACAGGGTTGTTGTCTATATTTGATTTTTAATGGATTAATTTATTTTAACTATTTTTGGGGTATTTTTAATTGTTGATGGGGTTTCTGATTTTAACTGTGAACTACCCAGAGTCACCCATTGCGGGGGAGATGGGCAGCATACAAATTTAATCATAAATAAATAAATACATAAATACATAAATAAATACAAATATTTCAAGAGAATTCTAGAATTGAGAATAGAATAATTATAATCCAGTATTGTTGCTCAGTGAATCCAAAATGGGATACCAACTAGCAATGTCAATGCAACTTTTTAACAATGCCAGGCTCTGGTAACAGTTCTGCAAGAAAGTATACTTTGCTTTTCAGAAAAAGGATATCCTTATGCATCAACATGATACACGATTGTTGATCTCTATCCCACCCATGAATTTTCAACATTGTCGTTTCTGTTCCCAATAATATTCTTATTAAAGATTATATGGTAAACTAGGACTACAAGGACATGAACAGTGCCTAATATAGTATTTCAGAGGAAACTGCAGGTGTTTGCTGAAGTAAAACAACTGAAATATTGTGAATTTTCAAAACAATAAGTGATTTTTTAAAACAAAGTCAGCACAATTGCTCCAGAAATTCCATATATTCCTGCCTGGAACTCACAGGGGGAAAAAAAAAAGCTGAAAATGATTTGAACCTCACCTGCTTTACACCAACTCTAGATGCTTTCTTGGGATAAGGCTGGCATAGATGCATCTGTAGAATTTCAAGAGAAATAAAATAAGTTGTGTGAAATCTATCAAAATCATCTCAAGGGAGTTCCAATCATTCTTAATTAATCTGATTTCTTCTATTTTTTGAAATGCTTGGCTTTTTTTTTTTAATAAGGAACATAAAAACATCTGTGATGATTCTGTCAATAAGATTTCCAGTTTTTAAATGGAAAGCTTCTGCTAAATATCATGTTATTACAGGCCAAACTAAAAAAAAAAAAAAAAGGCCTCTTGAATACTTTTAGCAAGTTTCTAGAACAAAATCAGTAACTGATTATCAAGTTCTGCTTATTGTTTATCAATATTATATAAAAACTAAAATCCAGACAAATAATTCACTATTCCACTTTTATCTATTGTCTCTATACCTCCTTATGTTTCTATTACCTATTTTATTACAACATAGTTCTGTACAACTATGTACAATTCTATCATAAATGGATATATTTCCTAATGAGGATTAATGTTTCCTATTAAATCTTCATAATTCAAGTTCTGCTCCATTCCATTTGTTTCCTGAACAAACTGTTAGAACAATTATGAAATAATGCAGCTTTTAAAATTTAAGCCCTATACTACACTGGTGAGTCTTTATTAATATCCAACTGCAGAGCCCTATATAAAGTATGTGATAACAGGCCAGACTGGATGTAATTAGTGAATGGGGTAACTGTGATAAAATCTGTTTCCTTCAGATAGGGCTGCAGTTAACAAAATAAACTATTCAGTTGTAGTATTTCCCCACGTGTTTCTATCCTGATTTCCCCTCTTACACAAATTACTCATAATTCAGTTCTTTGTCTCAAGTATTTGTTTAAGAGTTCTACAGCCCTCTCAGATTTGTAAAGCAAAATGTGAGGTAGAACTGAATGTTATTAAAATATTGATAACATTTTAGTGTAAATTTCCAGACCCTTTTTCCTCATGTAGATGTTAAAAAAAGTACAGGGGCCTTCTTGAGGTATTTCATAAGCCAAAGGTCATTAGCTATAGTAAGAGATCTCTAGCACCATCTTTTGTTTCTCCAGGAAGAGTGGTTTTTACCGTAATACTGTGCTTCCTGGTTCTATTCCAGAAACAGCAAGATTGTTTAAAATTTAATTTAAAACTTTACAATCTTTCCTGCAATTCCCTGGCAAAACTCATACAGCTGGTTGACTAATGCAGGTCAGAAATTAGCCTGAAATGGATCTAAATAACTATCCATTCCAAAATGTATTGAACACCATCTTCTTAAGCATCTTGTTCAAGAATGACACATGAACACCATCTTTTTTATCATCTTATTCAAGAATGGCACATGAAACTAAGCTGCTAAAACAGGTAGATGCTGCGATGACCCAATCTGATTTTTAACAGAAACAGGCCCTACTTTCTCTTTGAGAAACTTTGGGTACCAAGGTGTTACATTTGACCTAGAAGATCTGAACAGTCAAGGAAGGATATGGATGCAAAAGGCAGGTGGTGGCTAATCAGCATATGAAGCATTTCTGTTTGTTATAAAAACAAATATATTTATTAAAAATCCACTTAGCACATTTATCTATACAAAAGAAAATCAACATCTAATACAGTCAACTGAAAGGCAAATACTCTGACTAATACTCTGTAATTATTTTTTACCTATTCCTGTTAAGCTAACAGTTATTATTCATTAATTGCCAACAATGAGATGGTTGTTTACCATCTTGAAACAAAGACAAAAAAATATTAACTTTATTTATTATTTTATTTTATTTATTAGATTTATCTCCACCCATCTCCCACGATGGGGGACTCTGGGCAGTTCACAAGATCCATTAAAACAATATTAATAAAACAATATTGATAAAACATCAAATTACATACAATATAAAAACTATACAAAGCATAGTGTATAATATAACTATAAAGCATATAACTATATGCCTATTTTGAGGATAGGAAGAGAAACAACACTACAGGTAGTCCGCATTTAGTGACTGCCTTATTCAGTGATCATTCAGTTACAATAGTGATGAAAAACTTTGTAACTAATCCTTGCATTTATGGCCTTCACAGGTCTGTAAAGCAAAGGAAAGCTGAAGTAAGATCATAACCATAGTCACAGTTTCTCTTAGCGACCTATTTGTTTAATGACAGAGTTGCTGATCCCAATTGTGGTCGCTAAATGAAGACTACCTGTATACATATTCAACTTCATTAATACTGCAAATAAGCCAACAACACTTGTTTTCTTTATAAATAACCAGCATGTTGCAAAATTGCTACTCCATCATAATTTTGCAATTTCCTTCTTCCCACAACTTGGTTCATTCAAATGCTAAGAATAATTTATAAAGCAGGGGTAGGAAGCCTGTATCCCATATGTGGTCTACCCTACATCTTCAGATTACACTGCTGAAATTTGGTGGCAAAATGACTAATTTTGCATGATGTAATTTCAAACGAGTCTAACGTTATCTTTTTGTGCACACTGCATATTTTCCTTTTGAATGGAGGGAAATATACAAAGGAATGAACTCTTTATGCTCCTTGCTAATCACCTAATTAATTTCCTGCTTTAAGTAATCCCTTTCTTTAACAGCTTTACTCCTGAAACACAACTGTAAGGATCATTTTCTTATCAGTTTGCAAATGTTATAATTGTTTAATAAGTGGGTTGTGAGTTGTGTGTGTGTGTGTAGAACACACCCTTAGATGCCACTACATAAATTAACATATATTACATTAAATTAACTCTAAAGTTGTTGTTACCCCTTAGCAACTTTGGAAGTTGCTCTGAATGATATTTTGTGGTGGGGAATACATTTCCAGTGATGACAGATTTTTTTAAACATGGTTTTCTCAGTACTATTGTGGTTGTGCTGATCAGAAAAACAAAATTAAACAGTAGCAAAATAGAGAGTTAGATAAGTACTGGGGGATAGGTACACAATCTGTAAAATTCCACAGTAATTATATCCATTGGAAAGCCTGCTTGTTTTAATGAAAAAAAGCTTGGCTAAAAGAAAAAAAAATGCAAAATCCATACTAAGGCAATATTTTTATTGAGCCAACTCAAGATCACTATCTGGCATGTAATCCTTTGGAATCTCAAAACCTCTTCACCACAAAACAAACAGAGAGGGCAGATTTAAGTGGCTAAAAGTCAACCAGGTTCTCATTTAGTTATACACTATTCTGAAAAAACAGAATTTGCCCCCTTGGATTTTGCTACTTTTCTATTGAAGAATCACTACATAAAATGCTGGCATTCTATATTCTTTATATGAAGTAAGTTCTGTGCAATTCTGATGCAGAATTTGGCTAGTTTTGTTCTGTTTCTCATTTCTTTTCCTTCTCCTTCCTTTTAAGCAGGATAAGCCCTACTATTGGGTAGAATGACACAGGCACCTTAGGCAGCCAATTTAACATATCATGAAAGGGCAGCAGATGATTCATTTAATTTATTGTCTTTTCATTCATAAGGCTATTTCTTAATTCCCTGGGATATCTCCAAAATTTCCCCATCTAGATCTCAACCATATGGAATCTTGCATATGGAAAAATCTGTAACTACAAGGAATGAGTTGTAGGGAGACGACAATATTTTGTGCAAAAAACATCTTCTTTCTTTCTTTCCTTTAATTCAACATTTACCTGCTAGATTTCCTCCCCCTCACACCCCAAGTTCACTGCTGGAGAGAGCAAGGATATCTGGATGCTTACGCTGACACCATGAGAGAGATTAACAGAGTTTATTCATACAGAGAGATTAGTGGCTTGGAGAATAAAGCAGCTGTCCATCCAAGCAGATTGACAAGTATCCATAGAAGGAATATAATTATGCTGTTTTGCAAATAATATATCTATAATGGCACAATGAGAACAGGATTTGAATAATTACCTGAGTGTGCTGTCACAGATAGGGGTCAAGTGTAGAAGTGCATCATGATTTCAAAACACAAAACCATAACTTCCGTGCTTGCGTCAGACATCAGGCTGCAAGTACATTAAGACAGATTCTGCATGATGACATCATCATCTGGGGGCTGTCATTTTGAAACTATCTTGGTTAGCTGCAGATGGCTACATTTTTCTACAAAGCTTTCTTTCCTACAAAGAAAAACACTGTATACATTCCTCAGTATCAACTGTAATTAGTTGTGTAATATTAAACTCACTGAAAAAGAAAATGGATATTTAGATTTCATAATTTGCTCATTAATGAATGTAACTGCTAATTTCAATACTTACAAATACAGTGTTTAATATGCATCTGGTCTGAGATCACTTTGAAGTGATAGATACTGCTAGCAATGAGGAGCAAAATGAAGATGTAAATAATGGAAGAATTCAGAGAAACTGTTCTGAAAGATTTCTGCAGAGACCAAACTCTGAAACTGAAAATCTCCAGAGGTTTCATGTTATTGCTTTTCTACACATGGCTTTATGCAGTTTAACCTTCAACCTGAATGTAGTATTTTCCCCAAGTATGCTTGAAGGCTTGTAAATTACAAATTGGTTTTCATTACTTTTCATTAGCATTTGATTTCTGATGCAGGTTGATAGTTGAGTTTAGATTCTTTCAGTCATGTATCGCTTATGGCAATAAGATTTATGCATTTCCAAAACTCATTTTTCCCCTTCAAAATAGAGTCCAGATCAAGAGATATTTAAAATCTCATCAGATATATGAACTATTCACCCAGATCTAGCAAACATTTTATAAAGATATGGAATAGCCTAGAATACACACAATTGTTAATGCCCTGAAGAAACTCTGTAATTTTCAGACAAAGGGGCACATTCTTCGTACAGATTAATTGAACCCAGTTTAGGCATTAAGTGAGCTCTCAGGGCCAAGTCATCATAACCAGTTAACATACATCAATGGAAGTGTTTTCTCAAAAGAATTATGTATATTGGTGTTGGAGTGGGGGTGGGGAGATCACTCCCTAGGCCTCCTATGTGGGGTGCTTCAGGGTTCTATTCTTTCTCCCCTCCTTTTCAACATATACATGAAACTGCTAGGCGAGGTTATCTGGTGGTTTGGCGTTCAGTATTATCAGTATGCTCATGATACCCAATTATATCTTTTGACCCCTGGCCAGCTAAGTGAGATTGTCAAGGTTCTGTCCTAGGGCCTGGAGGCTGGGTGGGTTCGGATGGGAAGGAACTATCTCCAACTCAATTCTACCAAGACCGGATAGACCACTCAGATTTGGGGATATTCTATCTTGACCTTGGATGGGGTGCCACTTCCAGTTGGGGTGGTGTACCAGTTGCACCCTTTTTGAGATCAGGGGGTCCTTCACATACTCATACCCTAGTCACCTTGTGGCTTGACTACTGCAATGAAGACCACCCAGAAAGCGGTTGCACAAGCAATAATGGGAATGCCTTAGTAAGCTCATGTAACACCTCTGTTTTGTGAGCTGCACTGGTTGCTAGTTTGCTTTTGGGTGCAATTCAAGGTGCTAGTTGTTATCTATGAGCCCTACATGACATAGGGCCTGGTTACGTGAGGGATTGCTTGTCTCCCATAACATCCGCCTGGCCAATTCAATTCTGCAGGGTTGGCATGCTCCAGGTTCCTTCAATTAAACAATGTCATCTCTCAGGGCCCCAGAAGTGCCCATTTTCTGTGGCAGACCTGCCCCCTGGAATGAGGTTCCCCCTGAGATCAGGCTGGCCACCACTCTACTGTTCTTTAGAAGAATGGTGAAGACCTGGTTCTTCATTATGCTTGCCACTTTTATCTTTTTTTAAAAATGTTTTATTGATTTTGTTTTTTGTTTTTTATTTTGTGAGCTGCCCAAAGTCATTGAGAGTCAGGCAGCATACAGGTTTAATCATTTATTATTATTAATATTATCATTATATTAATATTATTATTATTTCTGTTTTCTAGGGAATTAGCTGTCTCATCTAGTTTTATGTCATCTGCAAATTCTGTAAGCAGTCCCTACAACTTTTCATTCAATCATTGATAAAAGTATTAAAGATTACAGGACAATAAGGCTGAACAAATTGGCAACCCATTTTATAATAATTTGATGAGGAATCATTGATGAGTATGACCTTCAAGCCAGTTAAATATCCAGTTCATTGTTCTGCCATATACGCCACACTTCACTAACTTGTTAATCAGAATGTCACGGAGTACTATGTCAAATGATTTGCTGAAGTCAAGATATATGAAATTTACAGTATTCTTAAAATCTATTAAGAAATTTGCCTGATTAAAAGAAAAAGAAAAAAGATAAGGGTAGCCTGGCTGATTTTAGTAATTATCATACTAATGCGTAAACACTTGGAAAACAATCTTTTCAATGTATAGCTTTCTAGATTTTCCTTTTTTGCTCTCTTCTAGTCACCTTGCAGTTCTCCAACATTTCTCAAAAGCATCACATAAAGTTCTGGCGATACTATTAGTTGATTCCTTCCCCTAGGTGCAATTAATCCTACCTTGGAGATTTTATTTCATTCAAAATAAAGAAGTATTTTCTATGTTTATATTAATCTCAAACTTCAGTCCTGCCCCTTTTATCCTGTTCTTCACAAACTCCTGAAGGAATACATACCTTCTTCATGGAGCCCTATCTTTTCTTTGCCATTTGTTAGCATTTGGCTGTCTTCATTGATCAACTGATGTAATTGCTTTCTTTTTATTTTAAGCATATCTAAAGAAGATTTCTTTAGAACCTTTCTATTGTTCTTAACATCCCTTGACTCCTTCAGCACATTCTTAATCTTAATTTTCCTGACACTATCTCCACAATACTAAGAACATTTATGTAGTCTTCTTGGGTTACCTCAGCAATATATAGTATGTACTAAGCCATGATTGCATCAAAATCACATGTACATCAATACTTTGTTGTGCAAATGGTGACATTATATAATATGTGTTGGTTATTATATAAATAATGTTATTTGCATGATGATATCACAATGTATATCATTTTTTCCCCTTCCCCCTTTATGGATGACCACAGTTGACCTGTTCTCTTTCTATCTCCTATATCTATCCTGTTTTATTTTCAGATCTACACTAACTTTTTTTGTGCACCTGACTAGTTTCTTCTGTCCTTCATGTTTTCCTTATTAGAACTCTTTGCAGTGTGCTTTTATAATCTTCTTTTTAAAGAACTTACAGTCACCCTGAGCACTTTACCCATTAACTTCTCCTGCAATAGACTTCTGCTTAACATAATTCTCATAATTAACATACATTCAATAAAACCCACTTTTCTGAAGTTCAGATTTGTGCATAGGCTTTCCTTCAAGTCAAGAATAGTATCATTATATGAGCACTTCCCCCCAATTTTGCTGCTTCTTCCACTTTCTTAACTAAGGGTTATCTATAACGATCCAGTTGCTGTTGTTCTTTGCAGTATTTTATCCCCACATGGATTGCTGGTCATTGACCGAATAAACATTACTTAAAATCCCCACATGGATTAGCTGCAAGGAATAATTTTAAAAATGGACTTTATAAAGTCATAGAAATTGTTCTGGCAGATATACTTCACAAACTAATGGGACCAGTCAGCAATATAAAAACAGCTAGTTTCCTAGATTCAGTAGTAGCTGATCTTCAGTGTTATAAGAGTTTCTTTTGCATCTTCAGCAAAAGGAGCTTATCTGTCTGAGCCTCATCCTTCATGAGTACATGTTTGCATATTCCTAAAGAAAGACTGTCATAGCCAGCGTGAAGCGCTGACACTTTCTGCCTTCTGCTCGAAAGTATCTCCTGAAGTCTCAGGGCTTGTTTCTTTTGCAGAGGCCTGAAAGTTATTTCTGGCTCAGCATGCAGAATGACTTCTAGATCTTTTTTTTTTTTTGGATAGGCAACTATCTACTAAACTTGTTCTTCACTTCTCTTCTTTAAAGTTGCTTCCTCTATTGGTTTCTGCTCTAGTGCTTCCTTCCTTTCATCAAACAAATATTTATTCTCTCTTATCAGCTGCAGTATCACCACTTCTTCTCATACTGTGACTGTTTTCTTTAAGGAATGCTAGATGTTAGCGATTGCTAGCTACTCTCAAGGAGCAACACGATACACCATAAGCACTGTAAGTCATGACTGTATGCTTCTCTCCTTTCATCCTCAGTTCTGTTTAAATTCCACCTGAGGAAGACTTTTACATCTTCTTGTGCTGTTCGGAGACCAAGTATGTACTGTTCACTTAGAGGAAAAATTCATAAGGCTGCTCCCTTAAATTCCTCCACTGAACTCCACTGGTAAATTATAAGTCTCCCTTCCTTCCTTCCTTCCTTCCTTCCTTCCTTCCTTCCTTCCTTCCTTCCTTCCTTCCTTCCTTCCTTCCTTCCTTCCTTCCTTCCTTCCTTCCTCTAGCTGCCTTGTATTTTTTTCCCCTAGAGTTCTTGTTTACTCACTAGAAATCAGTCTCTCTTACACACAATGTCAATCAGCAGCTCTTGAGATGTATTTTCACATCCCAAAGCTTAATATACAGAGCCTCAGAACACACAGCTTCTCTATTCCCTCTCCCCTCCCCTTTGACTCTTCTTCCTATTGAAATCCACTAGCAAACCCTTGTCTACTCTTCCTATTAACTGCTAAATTAGAATAATACAATAACAATTACCAAAAAAACCACAATAAAATACAATAGAATATTAAAAAAAACAATAAATGTCCACAATTAGCATAAATAAAAACAAACAGGAAGGATTAGAAAGTCTGGGAAATATTTTTTTTAAAAAACTCTACTTAATTCCAAAATATATCATTGTCAGGTGGGTCACCTCAGAGACAGTATTCTATATTATGTTGCTTCCACAGATTGAGCCACCAATCACACATCAGAAGAGACCTGAAGATGAAATTTCATTTAACTCTTTGAGTATGAATTATGAATGTGTCCTTGAGATATCCTGGCCTCAAGCCAAGAAGAACTCTTAAAATATAGAGAGGGGTTCAAACAGAAATTTGTGTGGGGTTTCTGGTACAAGTGAAATGAAGTTAATTC